TGGGATATTTTGTATTTCTATGTGAATTTTAGAGTTGGTTTTTCAAGTGGGGTGAAAAATGTCACTGGAAGTTTCATTGACATTGCCTTGAATTTGTTGATCAGTGTTATATGACTGTTCCTGACTACACATGAAAACACATCTACTCTCCTGAGGTAGTAACAAGGAAAAGACTAAATGTACTATTCCACCCAAGTGTAGCTCAATGAAATGAGTTTATTAGAGTTACTTAGGAGAGTATTCAAAGGCAGAATCATCATCATAAAATCTTGGTGAGAACTCATGAAAACTGTAAAACTCTATCTAACTAACCTGTAGGAGGCTCCATGCAGAGTCTTTTCTGTTCAATAGTTGGTCACTACTTTTACAATAGGCAGAAGGCTCTGGAAATCTAGTAACTCTTGAGTTTCCTAAGTCTGGTAAGTTTTGTAAATTTCCTGAATCTTGTGAGTTTTGAAGCACCCCAGTCTTATGACTTTCCAATCTTCTACTCTTATGACTTTCCATTCTTCTTCTAGAAGGGAATGTATCAACTTGTAAGAATTAGCAACACAACATAACTTTTAGAAACACAGCAATTTTCACAGTATTTACTTTGCCAGTCCATGAAAGTGAGATGCCAAAGGTCAAGATAAGTTACTGGCCACCTGTTGTGTTTTAAAGAATGATTTTTTATATTTACATGTCTATTTTTGAGACTCTGTGAGTCTGTGTCTACCACATCGGTTCTTGAAAGTAAACCTTGGTCCTCTATAAAAGTAGTAAGTACCCTCAACCGATGAGCTATCTTTTCAGTCGACTGACCTCTGCTTTTTTGAGACAAGGTCTGAATCCTGCCTAGCTGACTAGGCTGGCTGACCAGGGTTCCACCTGATTCCACCTTCTCAGTAAGGAGATAACACATATGCCCACCATTTTCATCATTTTAATGTGAGTTCTGTGATCAAACATTTCCTCATGCTGAGCAGCAAGCACTTTACCAAATAATCTGCCTCTCTAATCCTGTGGCATTTAATTTTTTGGAGTTATTATCAAAGTGATCACTTTCTTCATTTCTGTCTCAGGTGATTTGTTATCATCGCGTAGGAAAGCTATTCATTTTTACATTAATATTATATACTGTTACTTTGTTAATGAGTTCATAGAGTGTTCCGGTAGAATCTATAGGTATTTTATGTATAGTGTCATGTCATCTTCAATAAGAATAATTTGCTTCTTAGTTTCTTATATATATTCCTTATTTCTTTCTTTTGTAATATGAATCTAGTTAAGATTTAAGTGACAATATTGGATGAGTGAAGAAAGAATACTCACATTTTTCCCCATTGTTGTGAAAATGATCGCAGGTTTTCTCCACTGATTATAATGCTGGCTCCAGATGTGGCATATACACTCTTATTATGTTGAGAAAGGCTCCTTCTATTACTATTCTCTTCAGGACATTTATCAAAAAGGAATGTTAGTTTTCATCAAAGACCTTTTCTGTATCTATTGATTTGTGTTTGTTGAATAATCTTTACAACCTTGAAATAAAGCCCATTTGGTCATGGAAAGAACTGATTTTCTGAAAAAGACTCAGCTATGCTCAGAAATAATGAGAAGAATTAATAAATTGAATTACATGAAATTAAAAGGCTTCTGCACAGCCATGGAAACACTCCTGCAAAGAAATGACCTCCTACGTATGCCTTTTCTCTCATAGTCAATATTTCATCATTTTATGTAATGTTACATTCAGTTACCTAATGACAGTAGTAAATGCTATGAAAACAGGGCTCTTTGAATGAATCAAGACTTTATGTTAACACTACAAAGTCAAATGTGTTGTTGAGTTCTGTTTGCAAGTACTTTATTGAAACTATCCAGGTCTAGTGAAGTACTGATGTGAGAATCTACAACCACCACTTTGTTAAACCAGCATAAGCCCCAACTACATTCCCAACATTTGTCCTTATTCTCACAGAAAAGTGTTATCCTTATTCCTCATCAAGAAAAATTCTCTTTGCAACAGACAGAGACGAATACAGAAAACCACAACTAATCAAAATGTAGAACTGTGGAACCCAGCATGACTGTATACACCTGTGGTACAACTCCCACATGTAAGGCTCAGGGATCCTGGTGGAAGAGGAAGTGAGTGATTTTAAGAGCCAGAGGAACACTGTTTTGTTGTGAAATTGTGTCTCCTGGTAATAACAGAAGCTATTCTCATATAGTATACTCTCATCTACATGACTGCCTAAACATGATCCGAACAAAGAAAACAAGCGTGTACATGCTACTACGAAGTGAGAAATCCCAGGAAGCTTCAACCCTATATAAAATATTAGAGGTGACTAAGGAATCTTGGGTAAAAATAGCTGTCCCTAGGGGAAAAACACACCAATTGGGTATCTAATACCAAAATGATTAGCCCTTAAAACATATATGCAAGTAATATTGTATGTATTAAGCAAATTGTAGTTGTATATTTAGAAATATATATGTATGTATATATACATATATGTACATATGTATGCATGTAGGCAACAGCAATTAGTATAAAAAGAGGGCATGAGTTTGAAAGAGATCAAGAAGGGATATAAGTGAGGGTTTGGAGGAAGGATATTACACTATTATATTATAATCTCAAAAAATAGAAATTAGGGAAGAATGTGGCATTCACAAAAAGAGGGAGAGTGGCTCACGATTTTCGTTCCTATTGTGTCCTCCCTCAGCTTCAGTATCTGGTTAACACTGGTTTCATAAAAAGAACTTGGTGTCATTCTTTCACTCTCTGTTTTATGGAGTGTTCTGTGGAGTGTTGATTAGTCCTTCAAAAGTTTCATAGAACTCAGCAAGAAAACATATGGGCTTGAGCTGGTTTAGTTAGAAAATTCCAATTTCACTGCTTGATATAGATTTATTAAGCATTCTAATCCCTTGGTTAAATTCTAGTAGGTCATAGTCTCTCTCTCTCTCTCTCTCTCTCTCTCTCTCTCTCATTTTTATTGTTTTGTTTTTTTTAATTTCCTTTTTTAAGTCTTTCTCTTTTTCAAAATCTCATGATGCCATCAATAAAGTTGTATTTCTATTGACTGATATTGAAGACATAAAAACAGACTCAGAGAACTTAATGCTTTAATGCCAATCACAATTTTTTTCCTTGCCCATATGTGAATATTCTCACTTTTCCTTCATTGTTGATATGGCGCTAATGCATTCTTAACATCACAACATTCCAAGAAAGCTTATATTGTTCCTGTGGTATATGTTCTTATCAGTTTATCTAGTACCAGATTGGTATTTCCACAAGTTCACAGATTCAGATCCAGAAACAAAACAGCTAATTTAATTTCTTAAAGAAATACTCCCAATTATGTCTCAAGTGCATGGTCTCCTAAATTTTAATTAATACTAACTGGCCTTAATTAGGCTCTAGTCTTGAGCAAACCACTGGTCCTCTTTAGAATGGTTTTCACAAGTTACTAGATAAAGATTTTTAACAGAACAATCTTTAGCTACAAGCCTTCATATCAGTACCAGACAAAATTGTGTTTTCTTATGAATAAATAATGTGATTTCGCACAGAAAACGGCATGCTGTGCCCCTTAAAGACAGCAAGGACAAGTACCATTGGCTGGTGAGTAAAGAACAGGAAGGGCAAAGTGTGTAAGGAGAATTGGAATCTATTACCTGCTAACATGCCAGTGTAAACTCTTTTCAGGGGGACGGAATCATAAAATAATGTATGTTTACAAAACCCACATGAATTCAGCCCTAAGTTAAATAAAAGATACTAAGTTCAAAAGGACCTGATAAATGCTTCTTAGAAACTTAAGAATGTAGTTAATTCTTTATATTTTATTATTTGTTAAATAGAATACAATATTTTTAGTTATATTTAATTATGCCATAAAAGAATTATTATAAGAAAGCTTAATGATTTGAGTGAATTCATAACGAAGCTTTATTCCTTAAACTCCATCTAGTATCATCACAGCCCTAGTTAATACTGGCGCCTTCTAAAATACTACACAAATATGCCCTTTACTTACTTATTACTTATACAATTATATAAAAAACAATGAAAACAATCTTAATATATTTTCATATATAAAAATGGTAATAGTGTTTCTGTTGGTCCAACAGAATGAAAAAAATTACCTCTGTAATTCTGTTAAATAACTGCAGGAGTTGCATTTTTACTTTGAGAAACTTTCATCAGAACATAGCTGTGAAACAGCTTTGGCTTCAAATGGAAAGGACGCAATAAAGCAGCGCCTAGCTAGAATCAGGTTCAAGAGGTTTATGGTGGTGAACAGCAGAGAAGATGAAATGCTTCAATAAGTCCCTTAGGCTGATTTAGTTAGCATCCACAAAGCAGAATAATCTATACATCACATACCCTTTGTTGGCTGACTGTTTAGAATAGATGTATGAGTCACTGAGGTTTATTTTAGCAGTCAGGCAATGCAATTCTCCTTTTGCCTGAAATATTAAATTTTAGAAATATGAAACTATGAGAGGTAATGTCAAATTGCAACAGGATGCTTATCAACCACTGTGATAGGGCAAGATATTCTTTAATCCTTGTCGTTCCATGTTTCACCTTGATCAGCACAAATGATAAGTTTCCATGTACAAAATTTCTATTATATTAATCAGACACCTATGGCAAATACTTTAAAAATACTGTGTGTGATATTAACAGTGGTTGGAGTGAGGAAGTTTGAAAAAAGAAAAAAAGAAAAAGAATCCTGACATTGGAGAAGGATATGAAGGACTCTTTTCTGAATGATTTCATATACAGATGAATCCCTCTGAGAGTCAGCAGGGAGGCATGAACGTGCACACGTGCGCGCACACATACACACACACACGCACACATTATCAATATATATATGTGTATATATATATGCAATACATTATATATGCAATAAAATATATATACATATATATGCCACACTTGTTAATTTAACTTGTTACTCTTAGAGAGTACAGAGAATTAGCAAGGGTACCTGCAACAATGCTGGCAAGTTGCTGAGTTCTAGAAATAGGGTATGTGCTGCGTGCTTGAATGATCGCAGAAGCAATTTTTTTGGCATGTTTCTCTTCTCCATATGCTCTTAGGATGGATGCAAGTGCTTGTTGATCTAAAGCATTCACAACATCAGCAGCAGTGGGCATGTCAGGGTACCTGTGCACAAGAGGAGCCAATCAGTTTACTGACACCATTTTCAATGACAAGAATTGGTCTTTCAGAGCACTGGGAACATGAACTCAGGCAGTCACAACACACTGCCCAGACAAAATTCTAAAACAGACTAAAATATCACACATATGAAAGAAGTTTCCAGTTTACACTGTAATCATCATGGAAAGAGGCACCTGAAACATTCAATAAAGTCAAAGTAAAGGGAAGTTAAAGTACTTTTGCTAACTTTTAAATTTCATTCATTAGAAACTTTAATATTGATCCTGTAGGTTTCTCGTAGAATAAAACAATAGGAAAATATTCAATATAACTTGTTCAATATGTAAGTTACTAACTGAATTATTATTATTATTATTATTATTATTATTATTTTCTTTAGAATGGGAGATATGGTGTGGATGATAGCTGATCAGGTCTAAAGGCTGAGGAGGGAATTAATGTATGGCAGCAATGAACCTATGAGTGGGGCAAAAAACTCCAACCTTGAAAGTCTACACAAGACACTGGGTAGTCTCCCTCACAATAGCTGAAAAGACCTAGTGTTAACCATGCATGTTTTGGGTATTTGATATAAGCTCAGTTATCAGGGGCAAAGATCACCATTGATTAAGTCCTCAAAATAAACAGTATTGATTGAACAAGCCTAAATATTAGTTTCAATAAGGGGACAGAAAGAAAGCCCAAGTTCTGACCACATAGACTAATTATGCAAGCAGGAAATTGTGCTGACTGTCAGATCATTCTAGTTTCTTTCCCTTTACAGAAGTGGGTCAAAGCATTCTAACTGATGAGCTAGCCATGACTTGACTTATTAGGAACATCTGCTAGTAGTACACTTACTACTCCCACATAAATATGTTGGGTTATTAGCTGCATACTGTGACTAGTTATGAGTTCCAAAGATATGGGAGCACTAAGACCTGAGGTTTAACCAGAGTGAACCAGAGTGAGGTTATGAAAACATCTAAAACTCTTTTTGAAAATTATTACCTTGTCAGCAGGCTTGTGCATTCAGGAGAATTTTTATGTCCTTGGTGTGTACTCCGTTTGCATATATCTGTCTTTCAGTCTGTCTCTGAAACTTTTAGTGTCTCTGGTTGTTTTAGGAAGTAGAGAAAGATCCTGTTCTACATATGATGGTTTCTTTTTGGTTTCACTTACTTTTATCTATTTGTGCATGTTTTGAATTAAAATAGATTCTACTACTCCATCTTTCCTCCCGCCATCCCCTCCCATTCCCCTCAAACTGACAGCCTCTTTTTCTTTTGATATCCTTGTACCAATGAATGTTTTATATGGTATCCCTAACTTTCATCTCAGTGGGTTCCCTTTTTTGTTTATAAAATAAAGACCTTTTCATTAAGGATGAATTGCAACCTTGTTATATTGGATAGAGTTTTAAATGCATTAGACTCTCAATTTTAATCTGGAAAATGAATATAACAATGCTTATCTCAATTATCAGAATTATTGGGAAAGGAGACCTACATAAATAAATACCATTTAATGACTGGACAAGAAATGTTCATGTCTTTCAGACCTTTCACATTCATATATTTGCCAGTCATTATTTGACCACAGAAAACAAAATACTTGCTAGTAAATTCAGACCCTTAGCTCTATTAAAACAGTTATAAGATAATGTGGAGCGCTGCTGCCGCGCCTTAAAGATGGTGCCGGCTAGCCCTTGCTGACTTGGAGTAAACAAGCCTTGTTTGGTCCTGGGGCGGTACTTCCTGGTGGCCTGATCTTGTGTCATGGGTCCTTGACCAATCACAGTGCGAGACGTGGTATGGGCTCATGGGCAGTCCTACGCAAGGTATGAAGCTTCGCTCCTGGGCTGGCTCAGGGGCACACCTTCAAGCTTCATATAACTAGCAATTCCTGAGTAAACTGCTGCTGGAAGGAACTGGTGTGCGAGTCTTTCTTCCCTGCTGGTCCGGGTGGTAGGCGCCGCACAAGATAGTATACATAGATTTAGTTTCATGATAACTTCCTCATTTAAACAAGAAAAATAAAGTAGCATTTTGGTCAAATGGCATTCAATGGACACTAGGTAAAATTTCATTTTATTCATACATTAAAACAAAATAGATGTATAGACGTTTCCATAATGCTAGTAGACAAAAGGAACATGATTCTGCCTTAGCATGCCAGAAATCTACTTTAGAACAGGCATTAATATGAACAAGAACTGCTTCTCCTGCAAACATGAAGTTTTCCTGTGTTAGTCTATAGTTCAGTGACTTACTGTGACTTAACTCCCAAGAGAAAGTCTTAACTTGAGTGTCAATTTATTATCTCCCAACGAAGACTATATCTGTTAACAGAGTTAGCCTTTCAAGTCCTTGAGGCTTGAAATTCCTCTCAATTATATAAGATAATATAATCCAAAAGTAGTGGTTGTTGAAACTGGGGTCAACATAGAATTAAGACTCTAGTGTTAAATGTTTCTTGTCTAGATGTCAGTACTAATTTAACCTTTTAAAACTAATGTAGAAAAAGGAAAACCTTGATTTTCTCCTACAGTGCAATACAATGCCATAATGGATTGTGTGTCCATTTGAATTGAATAATGGTGAACAAGCATTAGTACTTCTACAATAAAGAATAAAGAATGATAAAGAATGAAGAGGAGTCATAAGTGATATTTCTGTACAGATATGTATGGATATGTAGTGATGTATGATGTAGTGTCATACCTTGCAGGTCTTTTGAAACAGGATCTACTACAATGACTGCTGAAGAGATAGGACAGAAATATAAATGTTGATCACTGAGATCCTACCCTACTTTTCTTTTGCAGCATTATTAAATAAAATCAATTAAATAGAGCTTTTTTCATAGAGACATGTGTATATAAGCACAAAAATGAAGCTATTGTTTTAGCCTCCATTTTTCCACATTACTACTAAAAAGCTAATGTTGTAATTAGTGAAAAAAATTACCTAAAAATGGACTTCCCCCATTCTGAACACCTCACTATTTCCTGTAAAGACAGTAAATATTTTCCTTTTAGAATTTCAAAGCTAAAGAAATACTGAAGAATATAATGAGTACCAAACACAGCTGATTTACTATGCATGGACAGTTTTGGATGTGGGAGTGTGCTGGGAATTTTTCAGTCTTCAAGGTAATTAAATTCAGAATATTGAAGAAATTGATTTTCTTGTGGTAAGAAGCAATGCTTTTTCAATACTAACCTGTCTCCATCCATCCTCATGTCCAAGGGGCCATCTTTCCGAAGGGAGAAGCCTCTTTCAGGAGCATCAAGTTGCATGGAGGAACACCCTAGATCCAAAAGGACTCCATCAATAGTCCCTGGCTGCACTCCAGCTTTCATTAGCAAAGCCTCTGCCTGGCTGAACTGGCCCAACATAGCTTGGATCTGTGTCCTGTGAATAAATCCAAGAGATAAAGATACTTTGATTGTACTCGTCTTTCTTTAAGTCTCTGACTCGTGGAAGTGAGTACATTCTATCACCAGATGATATACCCAAAATAAATGAACTAAGTGTCAAGTACTTGCTTAGCATTATACTTTAAGAATATATACCTATTTACAAATTAGCAATATTCTTTTGTCAGACTAGGTATTTCATTCTTTTTTTTTGTAAAAAGTTCTTAAATTTATAAGTAAAAAAGTAGCACCTGATATTCTTTCAAAATATTTAACATCCTAGGCAATTCAAATACAGTAGGCATAAAAACAAAAATAATAGAAATAAAATGTGTACACATATCATGAATGTTACTTAGTCATATAAAAGAAAATCCAGTTATATTTACATCAATGAAGATGGAACTGGAGATCATTATCCTAAGTGAATTAAGAATGCACAGGAAAACAAGTACTACATAATCCACTCATTTGTGAAATAATAATACACTGGACTCAAATTTGAGAGTAATATGGTATCTTGCAGTGATAAGGAAAGTGTTGGGGAAAGAAGAAAATGTAAATGTTTAATCAATGGATACTAAATTAAAGAGAAGATAAGGATTTTCAATGTGCTATTGTGCCCTGATTTAAGCATTTTATAATATATACATGTATTTAACACCACATCAATTTACATGTACAGTTTTTATGTACCTGTTAAAATAAATCTAATTAAATGAAAAGAACTAAGATAAAAAGATGAGTTTAATATGTTCATGCATTTAGTTTACTGCTGTGCATATTTATCCTTTTCTTAGGATAATATAGGATATATTATAGAATATATTAGGATATATAATATAGGATAAATTAGGATATATAGCTACCTACTTGAGAAAGAAATAGGACAAGACTAAACAACTCCTGAAGAAGTGCTGTTTTAGCTTCCATCAAGAATTTCAAGTTTTTCATGAAGCATTCAGAATCAACAGGCAGGAAGACATTTGGATGCTCTTACTCCAGTTATTCTTCCTATACTAAGTGAGCTACTGCCCTGAGGTCTCCTCAGATGTCTTAAGGCAACTAAAATTCATTTTGGAAGGAGAATAAGTAAAGAAATTGGGTAACATCCTCAAGTTCTCATTTTCCTCTCTGAAAGTGAATGGAATGAGCCTATATTTTAGCAACATTAGGTAACTCACATTTAGGGTATTTACTTATTGCTTATGCTATTTCAGGGGAACTCACAGGCGACTGATATGTTTTCCTTGAAATCTGAATGAAAAAGTGATTTTTAGATTACATGCCAAATATTTACTGAATTTCTATTGTTGCTACTAATTATGCTATTTGGAGGATATAGCAAGGAACAGGAAGACTAGTAAACCATGCTTCTTGACGTAACAGCAGAGTGGAAAAGATACAATTTACAGAGCAATATGGCAAAAGCTGATGATGATAGATAAATAAATTGCCTCTCTATGTTGGGAAATATGAGTGCTAATAAAGTAGTATTGGAAAACCAAAACCAATTAATATTAGGATTAGGAGACAGCTCATTAGTCATTTATGCCAATATCTGATATTTGTATCTTTGCTTACTGAATCTCATGAATGTTGAGCTGAGAAGGGAAGAATTCTGCTTTTCTCTCTTCCAAATCCCAACCACAGGCTATAGAGAGAGCCAAACACCCAACACTCATCACTGAATGAGATAGAAAAGAGTCGAGTAATGACATCTACCAACAAATTTTTGAACAAGAAAACAAAATGCCCTGCTAGAGCACATAGGAGTTCACTCAGGAGCAGAGTAAACATGGATGCGGGAAGAAGAGTCTATGTTGTCAAAAAGCGACTCTTCATTGCTACAGAGGAGACTGGCTTGTATGAACAACTGCACAAAATCAGAGAAATGAAACCTGCTGATCTGGGAGAAGCAGAAATAGAGCCCGAGAGATCCCTTTGCAAAGGAGAGATGTTCAGCCAGATAATCTTACCTGCAAGAGCACAGTAGGGAGGAAAATTTTGGCTTAGACATGTAAAGAAACAAGTGTTTTACATATGCTAAAATAATCATCTTATATTTATATATAAGAAACAATATACACACAGATATGAATATAATTCAATACAATTAATTCCAAGCCTAAGTACTTTGTTTCTCTGGGGAACTCCGATGCTATCATATATCAACTACTATTCACTGTTTGATATAACTGAACTGTAGAAAATTTTTATGTCTATTACCTACTGAACTCCATGTGAACACAAATCTCATGTTACAATATATGTTATTTACATCTTATGTCAAGGAACATATAATATTGAAACAATCTGCAGTAAGCGCTGGTTATTTAGTTCATATTTGAGTGGGTTTTTTCAATAAGAGTTCACTATTACTCTTGGGGCTGATGACATAGCTCAAGGGTAAATGCCTGTACAAGCCTGTATATTAAATCCCCCCAAACCACAGAAAAGACCAAGTAAAATAAAAAGTCAAAGCAGAAAAAAAATCACTACATTTCAATTAAGCAGTTAATTCTGTAACTTTTCTCTTTAGTATGACCTTATGCAAATCAAGGTTAGAACCAACAGTGGATGCATCCTTCCACACATGACCCTTTACTTACTCTAGACACACTTTTAGCCAAACTCTCCATTCCAGTAAGACCTCCTAATTTCAGATACTGATGTTTAAAACTACCCTGTGTTTGATGATTTATATGACAGTTTGCCTATTTAAACAGTAGTTAAGATACTGCCATAAAGGTACTTTCAATGAGTGGCTTTTAAATAAAGAAAATTAATGTTAAGAATGGAAGTGTATCTAATCCAATCAGCAATAAGAACTTAAAATCAAAGAATCATGTTTCCCAGGGATAAAGAAATTCTGCCTCAAGGTTGCAACATTATTTCTTACCACAGACTGTTTAGCCCGCTGCTATACAGATTTCCCACACGACAGACCTCGTAACTGTGTGAGCAAATTCCTTGAAGTAAATCACCCCCAGCCCAGTATTCTCTCCTTCTCCTTTCCATTCCCTCTCTCTTTTTACTTTCTCCTCTCTCTTTCTCTTTATACATAGGAGTGGGAGTGGGCGGGAAAGAGCTATATTTTGTATGAGCTGGACAGATGGCTCAGTGGTTAAGAGTTGTTCTTGCAGAGGATCTAAGTTTGGTTTCTAGCACCCACATGGCAGCTCACAACCATTTATACCATCAGTCTCAGGTAGTCTTTCACCCTCTTCTGGCCTCCATGGGCACCTACACTCATATACACACTCAAGTATACCTAACCCTACAAAAACACACATAAATGTAATTAAAAATAAAGTTAATTTCTAAAAATAAAAAATTTAACAGTTTATATTTCTTACATAAATTTCTATATACAAAACCACACTTGTACATGTTTCTTACATAATATTATACATATTACACATATATGCATGTTTATGTGTACCTATTTCCTACTACTTCTGTTTTCCTGGTGAACCCTGGTCAATACATATCAGCTTAGGGGTATATTTCAATTTAGTTGCTTGGTACACATCATTCCATGGCCACCATAATTTGTTCATAGATCAACATGTGTACAATTCTGGCCAGTAAGATACAAGTGATATTTTCTCAGAACCTAGGGAAAGGTTCCACTTTTTAAAATTTTTACATATATACAATAACAACAAAACAGAAATTATTAAGTAGATCAATTGAGCCAAATACAGATAAACAATTTTCTCTCTAGGTGGAAGGTAAAGTGCATGGGAGCAGAAAGCCTCCATTCATAGTTGCCTTAGGATAGGAGGGACTCAGTAAAGGTCTAGTAATGCTGTATATGTATGTATGAACACACACATGTAGAAGTAACATCTCAACTACTGTGGCAATTGTGATACAATATATAACAATGTTGTACAAGTAGATTAGAGATTTAGATAAAATAAAAATATCCTCAAGAAACTATAACTAAAACTGATACAAGAAATGTAAAATACACTCTTAAAATAACTTACAATTTAATCTCTAATTATAAAGTCTCCCACAGAGAAAAAGACAGGTGGTTCTACCATGTATTATTCCAAATATTTAATCATTTAGCTATTTAAGTAACTCCAATATTATATAAACAAAATAACACTGATACTATAATAAAATCTCCCAGAAAATACAAGATACAGTTATTTCAACTTAGAACACAGGGAAAGCATGCTGGATGGTTTTGCGGGCATATGAAATGGGAGCATCAAAGACTAGAGGAAGGGACTGGTAGGACATATAGATCCTGTTGGGAAAGGAAAATAAAATAGTTATAAATGGATGGGGAGCACTGGAACAAGACGATCAATGGGGATGGAGAGGAAAGAAGACAAATGACCGAATGTGAGAAAGGCAGCTAAAATTAAGGGCCATTTGAGGAGTGCTTTGGAAACCTAATATGTAAAATCTTCCTGAAATATATACATATATGAAGGCAATCTAAATGAAAAAGCCAAATAATGGATGGAGATAGAGCCCCTACTTTCTATCTCTTGTCATAAAATGAAGCTTCCAGTATGGGGATCTGGTTACAGCTAATTGAGTTGTTGGCCAATAGAGTTCCATGGGAATCCTCAAACAATCCAGGCTATTGTCAAGACTATAGGTTGCTTTCCACAAGCTGATGGCAAGGATCTACTGCTAAAGACACTGCCTGCACAACCCATTGAGTATGGAGGAGTCAAACTGGTACCTACATAGAGTCTTCACACCTACATGCTTGTACCTTTGTTACAAGAAGGTACTCTGTACTCTAGCAAAGGAAAAACCAACTCAGCCTCAAACCCTTTGGTCTACGATGGTGCTCTCTCTGCAAGCCATGCTATGGCAATGGTGGTACAAAGCTTATGGGAATAACCAAGCAATATCTGATTTGACTGAAGGCCCACTACATCAAATGAAACCCTTATGGAACACTACTTGGGTGACATAGAACTAGAGACTGGATAGCTCAGGAACATAAGATAAACGCAA